TGTGCCGCCGGGACACCCGGAAATTTCCCAGGATGTTACAATTATAAATGCAATAAACATTCCTAAAAATATTACAGGCGCATAAAAAACTACTTACATATATGGAAATATTAAATAAGAGCATATTTTTTACTTTCAGAGCGTAAACTCAGTACGAAACAATAGGTCTTCCGTTTGTGTCTGTCTGTCTGTCTGTCTGTCTGCCATCTTTCCAAATTTTTTTTAGACAGATAATCTCTGAAAGTAGGTAAAACGCTAATCAAAATTTGGCTAATCATCCCTACCAACAATTTGTTGACGTCATCTCCAAAATTTACAGAGTAAATATTATTTAAATTTTATAGAATAAGATACACCTGCACATGTTAAAAAAAATCAACATTGTCAACTTTTATTATTGAAAATGTCATTTAGTTGTATTTGGATGCATAGGTTTTACCTCTATCCTTATTTTTGTACTAATAATAATAATAATAATAATAATGTTTTACAATTTAACTTTGAAATCATGCAAATATTTTAAGATTGTTTGAAACATGCTAAATCGTTAATCAAAATTTGTCCGTCATCTTACAGTTTAATAATAATAGTCGAATTCGGTCGAAGTATAAACATAAACAGTCGAAGTTAAGCATATACTGAGAAATGGAGAATGTCTAAATTTTTTACGCTTATGTTTCATATTTAAAGGCGCAGGGGTTGCTGGGATGTGTTAATTGCGCCACTTTATACAGGTTGACATTTATCCCAAAACGAAAATTGCAAAATCTAATTTTATAATTTTTTAAAGAAGCGGATTGTCGGACTGTACTTCAAGGGCGGGGGAAGTTCTGTCAAAATGAGCTCGAATGACCAAATTTTAGGTCAACACCCAAACAATTTTTAGAAGGAAGTATTGTAAAAGGGTCCATCGGGCGACTCGCTACTCTCATGTTTTCTGTGGTCTGTCAGCTGGACCGATTTTTATTATTCAGATAATCTCCGAAACTATTGGACCGATTGTAATCAAGCTTTGTATATACGTTAGGAAGATATTATCTGGATGGCAAAACTCTATCCAAAATTTGGCTAATCATGCCCATTTTTTTAGTAAATGTCATTTAAATTTTACACAATAATATACTTGTGGTCTATGAATCCGCCTTGATTGTTTATTATAGTTAATAACCTTTTATACTGGTATACTCGGCGCTATCTCCATAGTGTATAAGCCAAGGTCTCAAACTTGTAAGCCGAAAGTTGCGTGTTACTATTGGAAGCTTTTTTTCTTACACTGTGATTCTTATTTATCTACATTTTGTTAATTCATAGAGGTCATCATTAAAAAATAATGACTTTTAAAGAAGCAGGATTTGTGGTAGTTCTTTCTAAATAACTTTAGCCATTTTTTTATAATGGGGATATACAGGGTGAGTCACTATCCATAAAATAAATCGACACATTTATTAATTTGAGCCACCTGTATAAGCAAATCTACAAAATATGAATAAATTATAAGTAAAAAACGGTGACAAATGTCAATTATCTGTCAAATTTGAGTTATATTATGTAACCCACAATATAATGCGTATTAAGCAGTCGCTAAGTTTGACGTATGGGATTTTCAATACATTTTCAAAATATCCATTATTGACAGACTTGTTTTTTTTCATCATGTATCTTTAAAAATCAATATCTCAATTATTTAAGGAAATTTCGGAACCCAGTTTTCACTACTGTTTTCATCTTACAAAAACATTGTCGACTTTTTTGTCGAAATGAAAAAATCAAAATACAGTTAAAAGCAGTTTCTTCGATACACTCTGCTGATAAACATTTATGGAACTATTTTCAAAGAATCCAACTTTTTTTCACTGAAAGAAATATTCCCACATTCTAAGAGACAGACATTCCAAAAAAAAAAACTATAAAATTTTGAGAAACAGAAATAATAAACTGTGATGATAGAGGGAAAAATTGAAACAATAATTTTGAATCTAGAGAAATGACACTTAACTTAAGTAACTAAAATAATTAATAAATGCATTCAAAAATCTATCTTCCCCTGACCATTTAAAAATTGCTAATGTTGTTCCTGTTTTAAAAAAGAACGATCCCAATACTGTTTCCAATTATAGACCAATATCCCTTGCATCTATTAGGTACACCATAAGTAAAAAATTTAGACCATTCTTAAAATTCAGCTTAGTGAACTTGTAACATACAGTAAAATTATTTTCAACTATACGGAATGTTCAGTTTTTGGGGAGTTATACACAAGTTATTTTTTACCAATACAACATCTTATATATTTTTACGTTGGGCTCTTCTTAGGCTGTCTAAATTATTAATTTTTGAAATTCTAATGCGACGTTGCCACATTTTTGATTTTTTCAAAGCAATACAGTGGTCCACAAAAAATACAATAGGGTTATCTTTAGTATCTGTGTTGCAATATATTTATATTGTGGTATCAATTTAATTAAATCTGAATGTACAGAGTGTTTATGAAAAATTCTAAAGCGTTACAATTTTCAGATAGAGATATTTCAGTTTGTTTAACATTTTTAGTGGTTTCGAAGATTACTTGTCTGACAAACGCTACATCAAATAGACGGAAATGGGAGATCTACTTTTTCATTTTCTAGGAGTTACAAAGCATCGGGAACGCCTGAAACTACCCAGATACGCGGTACCTGTTTGAAAAAACTGAAATATCGATATTTGAAAATTGTAACGTTTCATCACTTTTTATAAACACTCTCTATATTAATTAATATTTTAACATTACGAAGTTTTAATTAAGCCGTTACTTTATCTCGCTACAAACAACTGTAACAGATTTTAAGAACAATCCTATTAAGATTTTTTGTGAACACTTGTATTACTTAAAAAAAATAATAAGAAAATTGAAATAACGCGCAACATAACATAGAAATTGTAAAAATGAACTGCAATTATACGCACCTAGTAGGAAGCCAGTGAGAATATGTAAAAATATCTAAACTGTTATATTTAAAAAACTAAGTTGTGTTGTGTCTTAAAAATATAACACTCTGTATAGTTGAAATTACTTGCCATATTAGTGTATACTACTCAAGAAGCCGTAAGACTTAGTCAGTGACTGTTTTCTATTCGCAATAATTATTGAAATATCAAGGAACGTGTGCTTAGTGACTCACCCTGTATATTAAAATAAAACAATTTACTGCGTTCCCAGAATTTTATGAAACTTTTAGATAAATAATAAATTTTTTAAGACACTCTGTATAAACGATTCTGAAAAAAAACACATGTTTTAACAAGCATTTTATTTGCAAAATTTTGAGATGACGTCACCAAATGTATTTTAAATTGTACCTTCTATCATAGGACTGATTTTTGCACACCGTTTATTGGCAAATGACATACTCTCTAAAAAATAGAGGTGCTGCAATTGAGGTAAGCTGACGAAAAAATTATATACAAAATGAAATCTTCCATTTTAAAAAATGGCAGAACTGAATGTTTAATTTTTACAGTCTAGGTACTCTTTCTCAATTTCACTCTACAGAAGAAAAAATAATTTACCCCGCCCACCCACCCCGTCTCCATTTCAGTAATTATTTCATCTGCTCTGAATGAAAGGCGGAAAGTATACTAAACAGGAATAAAATTTATCGTTAGAATGAGAAGAGGGTGGGTGGGCGGGGTCACTACCTGCTAACATAGGATTGATTTTTGCAGACCTTTTATTGATTATTATCAGTCCAGTAGTTTCCGAGATTATCGGGCCAATAAAACCGCCAACAGACAACAAACGACGGACAGACGGAAACGAGAACATATTTTTTCCTATTCTAGGAGCCATGAAACAAAAAATGAATTTTTTAACGACAGACAAGGTGAAACAAATGTATACCGAGTTGAAAATGTTGAAGAAATTTCCTAAAAAAAAAAAAAAACAAAACAGGCAGGTTAGTACATCTAGTAATTTTTGTGCAGTGGCAGTGGCAGAATTACAAAACACTTGGTAAAAAAATCTATATTTCGTAAAACAACTAGAAAACTCAACACTACTTAATTTCTGTACAAAAATTAACTGGATATTTCTAAATCAGTAAAAAAATCACATTAACACTTTTCAAGTACCTACACCAAATTCGTACCACAAAATTATGGTTCACCTAAATAAAATTGGAAAGTTTGCACAAACACGCAAAAATACCTAAACATAACATTTGAAAAGATGCCATCTACTTTCTAGAGAACCACAATAACTGGGAATCAGAAAACGCTAAAAACGTGTTTTCCAAAGTAAACACTGAATTTATTTTTGACTTCATGACCTTTTGCTGAATGAAAACATTAAGGTTTTTATAAAAAAAGCAACTTCTCAATCGAAGTTTACAAATTACAGTTACAAATTTCAAAATGTTACTAAACACTTCGCAAGGTGTGGCGAATTCCCAACAGGTAGGAATGAGTGATACTTAACTCATGTATGAAACGAAATAGAATGTTAGTGGTAACTTTTGTGTCCTTAGTTTGCCACTAATTGCATATGAGACAAAATAGGTAGGTAAATATAAATGCCATCAGAACACTTCCTGTCAAAAAAGTTACCAACTAGTTCACTAGTATGAACAACGCAGACAGACTACGTTGTTTACCATTCCGTCTTACTCCAGTACCTTATTTAATATAAAAAAAGTTTTCCCAATGATGTTGTTTATTGTTAATTTATGTTAATCCTGTAATACATGTCTTCTGTAACTGTAACGATGTTTTTTGTAGGCAAATACATCATCTTCCGTGCGTTTGTTGGGTTGCCTATAATTTTCAATAAAATCGAATATTTATAACCATTGAAATTTAATGTTAAAAAAAAATATGTTGGCAACACAACACAATGCCAACATTATTACTTTTAAAATAAATTTCATGGTCCACTAGACGCCTTTTTTTCGATTTTCCCCTTCTTCATAATTTTGAAACTGACACAACAGTGCGCCATCTGTCGTTCATAAACCAAACCTCCCCACAACTTGTTTTGACACTTGACAGTTCGACGTACATGAAACTTTAATCCGTTAACCTGTTGCATTCTCAAATCTATCTGTTCTTTGATAACTTTCAAATATCTCCGTTATCACTGATACAACACAGCACAGTAATCAAGTGATTCATATCTAGTTAACGTACATCTGTCGATAAAATAAAACGCACCAACAGTGCCAACACCAAATATAAACAGAAACCCCAATCAAAACAATGGATAAGTTGAGACGAGTGCTCGGAGGCAACGATTCTCCAGATGAAGAGAGCGGAATAATGTCGCAGCTAAATGAAACCACAACATTAAGTTGGTCAACAAGACTGAAAGCATTTCTTTTTTGTTTTATCTTAGGAATACTGTTATCATTTCTTGGATCCTTTGCCCTTTTTTTAAGCAGAGGCCTATCAGTCTTCGCCGTGTTCTACACCCTGGGAAATATACTATCCATGGCTAGCACGTGTTTCCTCATGGGACCTTTTAATCAAATCAAAAAAATGTTTGCCTCAACGAGAGCAATAGCCACAATTCTTGTCATTGCGTCGTTTATCTTAACGTTGATAGCCGCTCTTGTGGTAAGTCTGTCATTATTTTTGTGTGTGTGGTTTAATTTGATTCGTTTTCAGCTACATAATGCTATCTTAGCTTTAGTATTTATTATAATTCAGTCATTGGCGATGACATGGTATTCGTTGTCGTACATACCATATGCCAGAGATGCCGTAAAGAAGACTTTTGTCGCGTGTATAGGGTAAACATGAGGATATCAAAATATGTGTTTGAGTACCTACGTGCATATTTAATGTTGTAATCTATGTCAATTTTAAACCCCTCCACTGATGATGTATTTATTTTGATACTCTTTACATATGTATTTGGACTTTATTGTTATTATATTTAATGTTATAAATGATAAATAAGTGGAAGTAATGCCGTCATGTTTATTAAAAAATGCGATTTAGCAATATTTAAAGGTCAAAATAATTAAAAAGTATTACCAGTTGACCGACAGGTCACGATTCAACAAATAATCGTTGCAAAAATTCTTTGATAAATCGTAAGTACCGAAAAATACGTAAGATCCGACTGTTGCTAACATCACTCTTGGTGTAAACCCTGCAAAAAGACTGAAAAAAGGTGTTGCAAATTTAATGATAAAATTTATTACCCTTTAAATCCTTTTTCGTAATAAAGTTGCTTCAACACAGTCCTGATTGTCATGTCAGTCGCGAGTTTTTTATTAGCCAACATAATTCGAGTTTTAGCGACATCTAAAGGAGTCGTTGTAATAGCAGCAAAAGCTGCAGCCACGGCACCACAGTTTGCTACATCCCACGAATCTAGAGGAACGTCATTTTTAAAACTGACCCTGTATACTTTTTTTAAATATTCCAAAACGGGAAACTGAATTAAAGAAAATGGAATATGTTGGGTTAGCATTGAACCATATCCTCTATACAAGCCCTACAATTGTTGTATTACTTTTGTATAACAAATTTAATTCAAAATCGACTTTTATTAGTCCTTCTGATTTAACAGCATGCATGAAAATTCTCATAGAGGTATGTTTTATATTTGTAGAAGTTTGTCTGCGCTGCTTTACCACCTCCACTGGGGCTCCAATTAAACAGGCTACCTATAATTCGAGTTCGTTTATTTTCATTTTGAAACTCAAAACAGTTCAACGAAATTTTCAAAAAAATTAAAAACGAAATATTCTACTATGGATTACGTGCAACGTTTCGTTATTTTGTAAAAAATAAGGTAATAATACATACGATTTCACCAGCTGTGGCTGCAGTCATGTAAACTAATGGTAAAACATCAGAGTCCACCCTTGGTTCAACGTAATTTTTAAAACTTTCATACGTCAAAAAAAATAAGGCCGCTTCTGGAGCACTTCCTATGGTTTGAGGTCCAATGCCTTTATAAACATGTTTGAAACCTCCGGTTTTAAAAAAGCCTCGTGCGGACTGGAGACGTGTTGTTAAAGTATCTAGAGGAAAAAGGGCTAAATCAACAGCGAGGGCGGCGCCTGCTCCTGCCTGTATATAAAATTTTGAATAGTTGGCGTATAGTTGGTTGCCTACTTTACTTACAAATAATGCCGATAAATACACATTTTTTTGATCTTCTGACATTGTGTCACTATTGTCTAAATTTAGATGTACGAAATTACACATAGGACTCGGTTGGTTGCAACTCGTTAATGCATAATGCACTACGACAATTACGCAAACAGTGTTGCCAAGTTGCTACGTAATAGACTGGATCGGAACTTTTCGGTACATATCGCGGATTTAAATTTTGCGTCAAGGCTTTAATTTTAATTCAAAATTGGTTTTTAAAAAGTCCACTGTGCTCTGATCCAAACTATTTCGGTGTACAAAATAATGGACCACCATACAAATATTCAAAACAGAAAAACTACTCACTATTTCGTAGAACCATTTCAAAATGATTGTATTTCATGCGAAGAAGTGGGTTTCACGTTTCCGTCTATCTCTCTGTTGGGGAGTTTACGGAACACTGTGGAATCTTGGCCCTGTAGATGCTTACATTCTAACTAAATTTGTTTGTCTATCTCAATCATCAATTAAATCACGACATCTCAAAATTTAGCTCTTGGGAAAAACTTCTAATTTCCACAAAGAAATTTGAAAACTTGTCTCAGAAAATATAAAACTGACTGCTCCGAAGTCTATCAGACGTTGTAAGATCGTGGTAAACATTGTGTAAATCGTTACTAAAAATTTATTTGATTGGTTTCAACTCAAATTTTTTTGGAATCGATACACATGACGGACGCACAGACAGACAGATTACAAACACGTGTAATTTTAATATGATCTCTTTTAAATTAACGGTATATCTAAAGTTTTTGAATGATTATAGCTTAAGTTACTGCAGTATTCACACTTCATAACTCCTCGTTCGAGATTTAAAATAGTTCATTTATGGAATTTATTCCCATCGTTGATCCATTTTGAACCAAAGGACCTTGAAAATTTTCATCAGTTAAATTAATATATTATCACGGACTAGAAATGGGAGGTGCATTTTGTGTTTGTATTACGTATATTAATGTTATTTTCTTACATCTGAATTATTTTCTCACAGCTTGAATTTGAACATTTATTCTCGAATTATTATTTTGATTGTGACCACATTTAATATACACCTTGTTGTGTTCATTATGCTTTGTTTTATCTGATGCAATCTTGATGATTTTGATTTAATCATTAACTTGAATTCATGCGTAATTTAACTTCCTGTAAATCCTTGTTCTTCAAAATGGCTGATAGAGTGTGGCATAATTTAATTTATTGGTTATTTTATTTCTTGTAATTATAATACTCAATTTGCTACTAAAACTAAAAGTTTTTTTTTCCTCCGTTTTCAAGTAAATCTTTATCTGCAATACCGATTTTCAAACCTTGTGAACCCGGTTGTCTAGTTGGCTGTGTCCTTTGCGGGGATGGAAGTAAGCCTCCAGAATGAGAATATTTAAAAAATCCGAATTTCTGAGGAAACCAATTTAACCCACTGTGATATAGTCTTCCATACAAGTGTTTTTTGTTTTGACAAGAAACACTTGCGTAAAATTGAAACTTGGGGGTCCACCGGGACTACTATTACTATGTATTATTATTTTCAATTTTGCCGGCGACATTGGCGTTTTAAAAAAAATACGTTGTTTTTTGAATTTCGATGACGTTACCCAGAAAAACTAAGCCATTTAAAAAATTGTGGAAGGTTATTTTGACAGAATTTACCTCGCCCTTGACCTTGACGTATTGTCCGACAAATTACGCTTCTTTAAAAATCACTCCATAAAATTAGGTTTGGGGATTTTCGTTTTATGATAACTGTTAACCTCTATAAAGTCGTATAATTAACATCCTCGCTACTCCTGCATTTTTAAATATGAAATATATTTAAAGCAGATAACTGACGAGAAAAATATAGACATTTTCAATTTCTCAGTATATGCTTAATTTTGACTGTGTTTATATTTCGACCGAATTCGAATTAGCACGTTCAGATTACAAGCGTCCGCGGTTAAAAGAAAATGAATTTTGGTTGATTTTGTGTCTTAACATATCTTCATGATTTCAGTATTCAGCCGTTTTAAAGTTGAATTGTAACATACAACTTTTGATTTTTTTCAAAAAATCTGGATGTGTACAGGAAAAACTCAACGCGGATTTTAAATTACCCATACATATGGAGTGTGTAATTCTATAAAATTTAAGGAAAACTTGTTCTGCAAAATTATAAAATGACGTCATCATTTTATACGAGGCCATAAACTAAAAAAAGTTAATTAATGATTTACCATGGTTACAAAAATCTTAAAAAAATTGCAAGTTTTCAGAGCATTCGGTTTTACAATTTCAAACTTAAACTGTAAAGTGTTGTTACCTTAGATTATATAATAAATAGATCCCACCATGCCGTGTTCTTTCCCTAGAACAGCCTGTGACGACATCCTCCTGTCACACATCTCTCTCGTGCATGGAGGGATTACAATGAAGCTATCCTTGCCTGATCACTATTTGAATTTTGCGCGCCTAAATTTTAGGAAGTATGTCTGAACCATGATACAAGTAAATATGGTATGGACATACGCAGGTTTGCTGACGTCACCTGGCTGTATTCAGGCGGGAAATTGAAATATTTACCGAGCCCAACTAAAGTCACTAGATCTACTATTACTTTTAGAAAGTACGGCAAACTGCCTGTGGTCGGAATTCGACAGAGAGGAACCTAACCTATGTGTTAAACAAAGATAGCGCGAGGCTAGTAATTTTCGCTATCTGTCAACGAAAGGTTGATGTGTTTACGATTTGAGGTTACGACAGACTGTACTAGAATTATTGAGTTAACGGACCGGAAAGAACACTATTCCAGTCCCAAAGTAACTCCAGCCCTATTCAACGAGAAAGTGTCACCGGTAACCAGCAAACAGTCGTGGAAGACGTGTTACCACCAAGGCAATTGACGGCCAAATGACAGTAACAGGATCGCCATACTGGTTAATAGTTGTGTATTAAATTATTGGTTTGTACTTACCAAATGTACGAGATTCTTTGTACAATTATTATTACTATTCACAATCAGTGTAAAAACAATTTGCAATGTTTCACAATTTTTATTCTGCAGAGTATCTTCGGCTGAAATATACATATTTTCTTATTATTTGCTTCATCCCCGCTATTTTTTTAACAACGCTAGGTCGCTAGCAAACCACCAATTTGTTTTTACGCATCAGTTTGGTAACAATAAACAATAACCCTCATAACCACAAAAACTCATAACTGCCTCATAACCCTTAAAATTGATATTTGACATCAGATGTCAACACAGAAGTGGAAGGTCATTCATTCCACATGACGTCAGATAACGTTGCGCAGAAGAAGACGAGTTTTGGTTCATGGGATGTCCATACCATATTTACTTGTATCATGGTCTGAACCACGGTTGTAGAATAGATAGGTTGATACACTAGCATACATTTGCATATCCCTGGTTAGCGACGCCAATTGTCGATCGCGTCGCCTGGTTTTTGACGTTTTAGGGACACAGAACTCTATAGGCATCTGTCTATAACCGATGTAATTAATAAAAGAAATCCTACTTATCGACTCCGATCAAATGTCATTTACAAATTTTGTATTGTTCATAAAGCAATGTAAACGAAAATCCCCAAAATAACTAGAATGATTTCCGCTCGACAAGGTAGAGGCGCTAGCTGTATGTGTCCTTTCCATGGATATAGGGATCGAAAAGAAGCGTCGCCATCCCAAGCCATTAGTGTACAAACCTATCTATTCTACAACCGTGGTCTGAACTAACTTCGGAAGAACGATGTTGACAGCTTGATTTTATAAATAATTCACAGTAGATAACGAAAGGAATAGTAAATTATTGGGCAGCAATTGTGATCCTTTATGACTACATCACTTAAAATAGGATCTTTGTTCTAAATTCTAAAATTGTTTTTTGTACAACAACTCGAAAGAGAGGTTAGAAGAAATATCTGTGAAAAGCGATTTGTTGCGCTGGTGCGGTACAAGGATGGAAGTGAAATAGACATATACAGATGAAATGCATATAACTAGTGATGTAAAAATACCGTATTTTATTTTTGCGGTATAAAACCATGGTATAATACCGTTTTATACGGTATTTTATAGTGAACCAAGAGCTATAAGGTTATATGGCCATCATAAAATTATCCCATTGTGTCGAAGTTAAGTTGTTTACAATAGAAAAGGTTTTAGGGTCGTAAATAACGAGTCCACTACAGCTCGACCGGCTCTTGCGGTTTCGTTCAGGGGCGGCTTTCACTAAATATGAAAATCCACCACTCCACTATTTCTTTGCTACCTGCAGCCGCTGAGGGTTCCGAAATAACCACTCGCTTTGAAAGCCGGCCCTGTTAAATATGAACAAGAAATGTTTAGAAGATGATTTATTGCCAACCGGTAAGCTTAGTGCGAACCGCACAAAGGGGGTATTTATTTGCGGTCAACTAATTTTATGATGGCCATATAACCTTATACCTCTTGGTTCACTATATATGGTATTATATTCAAATTTTGGCGCCAACATTTTTCATTTTTAGCTTTATGGTAAATGTCATCTGGTGATTTACTAATTAGTAGAGAAATAAAACAAAAACTCTTCACGAAGAATTTATTATAAAAAAACAAACAATAAACTATGTAAATATGAAAATAAAACTTTTTTCTACTCTCTGAAAAAAAGCTATGTGAATATGAAAATAAAACATTGTTCTCGTCAATTAAAAAAAAATTAACAAAAGTAGAGACTATTGTTTCATTGATCTTCATCAACTACGTGCAGTATGAAAGCTTCTTCTACCTCCATATCTGAGTCTTCATTTGTTTCAGATTCATCAACGTCAACGCTGATGTTATCTTCGGCAATGTCGACATCATTATCTACATCATCTTACAATTTGAGGATATTCTCATTGTCATCCTCATAATCATAAATATTATTTTGCAATGATAAATTGCTTTTAATGTAACTTAATAAGTTAAAAAAATTACGATTGACATAACCTAAAAATTTAATTTTATACCAGTGGTATAAAAACATTTTATACATACCGTATAATACGGTTTTAAACCATGGTATTATACGGCCTGTATTATACACTCACATCACTACATATAACAAAGATGAAGATGTGGTGATCACACAAGGATAGCATTATACTACTCCCCTTGACGTAGAAAACGACAACAGATAGCTTCATGTCTAGTCACAGCATTCAGTTTGAGTATTGGTATCTATTTATTATATGATCTAAGGTTGTTACACAATTTTGATTTTTTTCTCAAAAATTGGGATGTCTAGGATGAAAGGTCGACACGGATTCATGAATCACACATACAGGAGTACCTATACAATATAAAATTAAATAAATATATGTACATATACCTGAAAGGGGCAAATTACTAGTAAGTAAAAAAGTACGTTTCACCCCACATTTTGTTTTTTAATTGATTATGAGTTGTTTTTTTTTTTAAGGAAAACAGGCCAGTTTTGACGTTGAAGAGGTTTTTTTATTGTTTTGTGAAAATCTCGAAGTCATCGGTTTCTATATGGAATCCGCAACTTTTTAAAAAATAAACTTAAAAATGGAATGAAAAGTAAAAAAATCCATTAAAAAAACTTCACGACAAAAACTGACTTTTTATTTTATAAAAAAGCAATAAAAAACTTCAACGTCAAAATTGGCCTGTTTGCTTAAAAAAAAAACAATTATACAGTGAACTTCAGTCACTCAGATGAGCACTGGATTTGAAATATCAAACAATGCTTTTGGAATCGCCAAAATTTATATTTGGTAAATATTCATTTTTTCGGCAAAATTCTAAAATGATGTCATTATGGTTTTAAAGTGCCATAAACCGAAAAACGTTTGTAAAATTTCAGAGCATTCGATTCTATAGTTCCAAAGTTGAATTCCAAGATGTTGCAACTTTGATTTTTCATCCAAAAATCTGGATGTCTAGGATAAAACTTAACAGGGTTTCATAAACCACATACGCAGGAATATCTTATTTTATAAAATTTAAAGAATATTTACTATTGTAAATTTTGTAGATGACGTTGTGGTGACCGACTTCGAATTAAAATTTCGCCCTGAAAAAAAAAATAACAACGGCGCGAAATCGCATTTGAATAATTTGAATTTGAAAAAAAATCAATCAAGAAAATCGTTAAACATAGGCAACCATCTGTACGTTTAGTTCTTTTCTGGTAGTTGGTAGCTCCTAGGGATTGTCTTGGTAGTGTCTGTTGAGAGGGTTGGTAGAAGTCGATTCGGTGGCTAGAGGGTTGAGAGGCGTCACTTTTGGTTTGTTTGTTGTATGTGAAACCACGTGGTGAGTAAGCTAGGTTCAGTTTAGTTGGTTTGGTGGTTAATAAAAAAGGGGGAAGCCTTTGTTTAACGACACTTAATCGTAACGACGACGACGCCACAGTTTCCCCAACACGCGTAGCTAATTCTTGCGTTTGTTCCAAGCAGAAATATGCGGATTTTCGACCGAGGTTAACATGTCGTGTAAATTTGTTTTATTGTTTGTACAGTCACAATTCATGTTAGGATTTTAATCGTTAACTGGTTCTAAACACAATTTAACAGACATTTGATTTGTTCAGATACAGCACTTGCAGGAGTTTTCATGAAATTCACTTAGTTCATTAACGGCAGTTAAATTAACCAAATGTTGCCGCACTCTGGAAAAAGACCGTGAAGGTACGGTAGAATTCATTATATTATAAGCACCGAGACATTTTCTCGCAACGTGGAAAATTACATCACCGAGAAACTTTTCTAGCAACGCCGGATGCATTTTGTCTTTATTTATCATCTTAAGGGGCAAACACCCATTCCAGGTTGAATGATAGGTGTAAATAATGAATTGTTTAATACTCCTGCTGATATTAATAATGGTTTCGCGACACAATTTGAATCTGTGTATCAGGAGGACTTGAGGAAAAACTGCGAATTTGACAAATACTGTCTAAATGACACCTGCATCACAAGAAACTTTGATGAGTATGAAATTCTAGAGGCGGTTGGTAGTCTAAAAACAGTTGTGTTATGGGACCTGACTCAATAACAGCGTTTTTAGTTACCGACTGTTGACATGTTCTTTGTCAACCATTATTACATATTTATAATTTAATAATTCGTCATAAAGGTTTTCCTGATTGTTGGAAACAATTACGTATTACGCCGGTTTATAAATCTGGAAATAAAAATGAAATAAAAAATTATCGACCGATATCTATCATTTGCAATTTTGCCAAAAGTTCGAAATTTTAATTTACAAATCAATCTACCCCCATGTTAATCATCAGTTGTCGCCAAAACAACATGGTTTTCTGAAAGGAAAATCAACTGTTACAAATCTTTGCTCCTTCACTACCTTTATTTCGTGTGTTTTGGAAAATAGACTGCAAGTTGACGAAGTTTATTGTGATTTTTCTAAAGCTTTTGACATGGTTCAACATTCGCTGCATTTGCAAAAGTTACATCGCTTTGGATTATCTTATGGTCTAATACAAATTCTTTGCGGTTATCTGACAGGTCGTGTGAATTATATAGAATATCAAGGCATCAAATCTCGATTATTTCAAAGCAAAAGTGGTGTTTCTCAGGGTTCAGTACTTGGTCCGTTGCTGTTCCTACTTTTTATTGATGATATTATGAAATGCTTTCTATCAGAATACTTAGTCTACGCAGATGATTCAAAGTTATATCATGTCATAAATTTAAAAACTATCTCAGACAGTGAGACGTTGCAGGGGCGGTCGGGATGACATGACGCTGTCGGCTTGACCCAATAGCCGGGACCCAACCACGAGTTTGCGACCGTAAGGGCCTGTTCGCCTAGCCACGTTTCTTCGTGATTGAGGGGTGCTGGGCGGCAGTGCTTGCGATAAAATAGAATCACCGTCGTGGCTAGGGGAACAGCCACGACCAAGAGCCCCAAACTCCGCTCGTGCTACAACACCCCTTATGAGTAATTTTGCTGTGTTCTATAATGAAATTGATATAATTTTTGCTGTGTGTATTAAGTTGGAATACTGCTATCGTTTCTTGGATCCTTCGCCCTTTTTTTAAGCAGAGGCCTATCAGTCTTCGCCGTATTCTACACCCTGGGAAATATACTATCCATGGCTAGCACGTGTTTCCTCATGGGACCTTTTAATCAAATCAAAAAAATGTTTGCCTCAACGAGACCAATAGCCACAATTCTTGTCATTGCGTCGTTTATCTTAACGTTGATAGCCGCTCTTGTGGTAAGTTTATCATTATTTTTGTGTGCGTGGTTTAATTTGATTCGTTTTCAGCTACATAATGCTATCTAAGCTATCTTAGCTTTAGTTTTTATTATAATTCAGTCATTGGCGATGACATGGTATTCGTTGTCGTATATACCATATGCCAGAGATGCCGTAAAGAAGACTTTTGTCGCGTGTATAGGGTAAACATGAGGATATCAAAATATGTGTTTGAGTACCTACGTGCATATTTAATGTTGTAATCTATGTCAATTTTAAACCCCTCCACTGATGATGTATTTATTTTGATACTCTTTACATATGTATTTGGACTTTATTGTTATTATATTTAATGTTATAAATGATAAATAAGTGGAAGTAATACTGTCATGTTTATTAAAAAATGCGATTTAGCAATATTTAAAGGTCCAAATAATTAAAAAGTATTACCAGTTGACCGACAGGTCATGATTTAACAAATAATCGTTGCAAAAATTCTTTGATAAATCGTAAGTACCGAAAAACACGTAGGCACCGACTGTTGCTAACATCACTCTTGGTGTAAACCCTGCAAAAAGACTGGAAAAAAAGTGCTGCAAATGTTACAGATAATGATAACAATTATTACCCTTTAAATCCTTTTTCGTAATAAATTTGCTTCAACACAGTCCGGATTGTGTCCGTCGCGAATCTTTTATCAGCCAACATAATTCGGGTTTTAGCGACATCTAAAGGAGTCGTTGTAATAGCAGCAAAAGCTGCAGCCATGGCACCACAGTTTGCTACATCCCACGAATCTAGAGGAACGTCATTTTTAAAACTGAGCCTGTATACTTTTTTTAAATATTCCAAAACAGGAAACTGAATTAAAGAAAATGGAATTTCTTGGGTTAGCATTGAACCATATCCTCTATACAAGCCCTACAATCCTTGTATTACTTTTTTATAACAAATTTAATTCAAAATCGACTTTTATTAGTCCTTCGGATTTAACAGCATGCATGAAAATTCTGAGAGAGGTGTGTTTTGTATTTGTAGAAGTTTGTCTCCGCTGCTTCACCACCTCCACTGGGGCTCCAATTAAACAGCCTACCTGTAATTTGAGCGCGTTTATTTTCATTTTGAAACTCTAAACAGTTCTCCGAAATTAAAAAAAAAATTTAAAAACAAAGCATTCCGTTATTTTGTGAAAAATAAGAGTAATAACACATACGATTTCACTAATTGTGGCTGCAGACATGTGAACTAATGGTAACACATTAGAGTCCACCCTCGGTTCAAAATAATACTTAAAACTCTCATACGTCAAAAAAAATAAGGCCGCTTCTGGAGCACTTCCTATGATTTTAGGTCCTATGCCTTTATATACATGTTTAAAACCCCCGGTTTTAAAAAAGCCTCGTGCGGACTGAAGACGTGTTGATAAAGTATCTAGAGGAAAAAGGGTTAAATCAACAACGAGGGCGGCGCTTCCTCCAGCCTGTACATAAAATTTTGAATAGTTAAAGTATAGTTGGTTGCCTACTTTACTTACAAATAATGCCGATAAATACACAGTTTTTTGGTCCTCTGACATTATGTCACTATTATCCAAATTTAGATGTAAGAAATCATACGAAATTACACATAATGACTAGGTTGGTTGCATCTCGCTAGTGCATAGGTGCCCTTATCCCTTATCTAAGATAAGTGCATTATATGTGCATTGCGACTTTTACGCAAACAATGTTGCCAAGTTGCTACGTAATAGACTGGATCAGAATTTTTCGGTACATATCACGGATTTAAATTTTGCGTCAATTTTAAAACCAATTTTAATTCAAAATTGGTTTTAAAAAAGTCCAGTCTGCTCTGAGTCAAATTATTTCGGTCTACAATATATTGGACTACTATACAAATGTCCAAAACAAAAAATTACTCATTATTTCGTAGAACCATTTAAAAATGATTGTATATATTTCACGTGAAGAAGTGGGTTTCACGTTTCCGTCTATGTCTGTTGAGGAGTTTATGAGAATCTTTAATGACGTCATCTCAAAATTTTGATACGAAAATATAAAATAATACTCGTGTGGCTGACTAATTAGCTCTTGGGAAAAAATTCAAATTTGCACAAAAACAAATAATGAAAATTTGTTTCAGAAAATATAAAACTGACTGCTATGAAATCTACCAGATGATAAGATCGTAGTAAACAGGGTGTAAATCGTTACTAAGAATTTATTTGATTGGTTTCAAGTCAAATTTTTTTGGAATCGACACACATGTCGGACGGACAGACAGACAGGCTACAAACACGTGTAATTTTAATATAATCTATTTTAAATAAATAAATTAATTGAATCAAAGGATCTTGAAAATTTTCAACAGTTAAATTAATATTATCATGGACTAGAAATGGGAGGTGCATTTTGTGTTTGTATTAAGTATATTAATATTATTTTCTTACATCTGAATTATTTTCTCACAGCTTGAATTAGAACATTTATTCTCGAATTATTATTTTGATTGTGACCGTATTTAATATACGCCTTGTTGTGTTCATTATGCTTTGTTTTATCTGATGCAATCTTGATGGTTTTGATTTAATCATTAACTTGAATTCATGCGTAATTTAACTTCATGTAAATCCTTGTCCTTCAAAATGGCTGATAGAATGTGTCACAATTTAATTTATTGGTTGTTTTATTTCTTGTAATTATAATACTCAATTTGCTACTAAAACTAAAAGTTTTTTTCTCCCTCCGTTTTCAAGTGAATCTTTATCTGCAATACCGATTTTCAAACCTTGTGAACCGGGTTGTCTAGTTGGCTGTGTCCTTTGCGGGGATAGAAGTAAGCCTCCAGAATATTTAAAAAATCCGAATTTCTGAGAAAACCAATTTAACCCACTGTGATATAGCCTTCCATACAAGTATTTCTTGTCAAAATGCGTAAAATTGAAACTTGGGGGTCTACCAGGACTACTATTACTATTATTATTTTCAATTTTGCTGGCGACATTGGCGTTTAAAAAAAAATACGTTGTTTTTTGAATTTTGATGACGTTACCCAGAAAAACTAAGCCATTTAAAAAATTGTGGAAGGTTATTTTGACAGAATTTACCTCGCCCTTGACGTATTGTCCGACAAATTACGCTTCTTTAAAAATCACTCCATAAAATTAGGTTTGGGGATTTTCGTTTTATGATGACTGTTCACCTCTATAAAGTTGTATAATTAACATCCTCGCTACTCCTGCATTTTTAAATATGAAATATATTTAAAGCAGATAACTGACGGGAAAAATATAGACATTTTCAATTTCTCAGTATATGCTTAACTTTGACTGTTTGTGTTTATATTTCGACCTAATTCGACTTTTAGCACGTTCAGATTACACGCATCCGCGGTTAAAAGAAAATGAAATTTGGTTGATTTTGTGTCCTCAACGCAGAGGAAAGGACATAAAACAATCTTAAAATATCTTCATGATTTCAGTATTCAGCCGTTTTAAAGTTGAATTGTAACATACAATTTTTGATTTTTTTCAAAAAATCTTGATGTGTACGGGAAAAACTCAAAGCGGATTTTAAATTACCCATACATATGGAGTATGTAATTCTATAAAATTTAAGGAAAACTTGTGCAAAATTATAAAATGACGTCATCATTTTTTACGAGGCCATAAACGAAAAAAAGTTAATTAACCATTTACCATGGTTACGAAAATCTTTAAAAAATTGCAAGTTTTCAGAGCATTCGGTTTTACAATTTCAAAGTTAAACTGTAAAATGTTGTTACACAATTTTGATTTTTTTCTCAAAAATCGGGATGTCAAGGGTGAAAGCTCGACACGGATTCATGAATCACACATACAGGAGTCCCTACACAATATAAAATTAAATAAATATATGTATATATACCAGAAAGGGGCAAATTACTAGTAAGTAAAAAGGTACGTTTCACCCCACATTTTGTTTTTTAATTTATTATGAGTTTTTTTTTTAGGAAAACAGGCCACTTTTGACGTTGAAGAGGTTTTTTATTTTTTTGCGAAAATCTCGAAGTCATCGGTTTCTATATAGATCCGCTGGAATTATGGTCAAAATCTTTACAAATCCACAACTTTTTAAAAAATAAAGTTAAAAATGGAATGAAATGTAAAAAACTTCACGACAAAAATTGACTTTTTATTTTATAAAAAAACAATAAAAATGTTCAACGTCAAAATTGGTCTGTTTGCTTAAAAAACAATTATACAGTGAACCTCAGTCATTCAGATGAGCACTGGATCTGAAATATCAAATGGAATCGCCAAAATTTATATTTGCTACATTTTCATTTTTTCGGCAAAATTTTAAAATGATGTCATTATTGTTTTAAAGTGTCATAAACCGAAAAACGTTTGTAAAATTTCAGAGCATTCGATTTTGTAGTTCCAAAGTTGAATTCCAAGATGTTGCAACTTTGATTTTTCCTCCAAAAATCTGGATGTCTAGGATAAAACTTAACACGGTTTCCTAAACCACATATGCAGGAGTATCCTATTTTATAAAATTTAAATAATATTTAGTTACTATTCTAAATTTTGGAGACGACGTTGTGGTGACCGACTTTGAATTGAAATTTCGCGCTAAAAAAAATGAACAAGGGCGCGAACTCGCATTTAAATAGTTTGAATTTGAAAAAAAATTCAATCAAGAAAATCGTTAAACATAGGCAACCATGTGCACGTTTAGTTCTTTTCTGGTAGTTGGTAGCTCCTAGGGATTGTCTTGGTAGTGTCTGTTGAGAGGGTTGGTAGAAGTTGATTCGGTAGCTTGAGGGGCGAGAGGCGTCACTTTTGGTTTGTTTGTGGTGTGTGAAACCACGTGGTGAGTAAGCTAGGTTAAGTTTAGTTGGTTTGTAGTTAATAAAAAAGGGGAAGCATTTGTTCAACGAGAATTAATCGTAACGACGCGATGCCACAGTTTCCCCAACACGCGTAGCTAATTCTTGCGTTTGTTCCAAGCAGAACTATGCGGATTTTCGACCGAAGTTAACGTGTCGTGTAAATTTGTTTCATTGTTTGTAAAGTCACAGTTCATGTTAGGATTTTAATCGTTAACTGGTTCTAACACAATTTAACAGACAGTTGATTTGTTCAGATAGAGCACTTGCAGGAGTTTTCATGAAATTCACTTAGTTCATTAACGGCAGTTAAATCAACCTAATGTTGCTCCATTCTGGGAAAAGACCGTGAAGGTACGGTAGAATTTATAATATTATAAGCAGATATTATCATCATATCATCGTTACATCACCGAGACATTTTCTCGAACGTGGAAAATTACATCACTGAGAAGCTTTTTTAGCAACGCCGGATGCATTGTGTGTTTGTTTATCATCTTAAGGGGCACACACGCATTCCAGGTTGTATGATAGGTGTAAATAATGAATTGCTTAATACTCCTGCTGATATTAATAATGGTTTCGCGACACAATTTGAAATTGTGTATCAGGAGGACTTGAGGAAAAACTGCGAATTTGACAAATACTGTCTAAATGACACCTGCATCACAAGAAACTTTGATGAGTATGAAATTCTAGAGGCGGTTGGTAGTCTAAAAACAGTTGTGTTATGGGACCTGACTCAATAACAGCGTTTTTAGTTACCGACTGTTGACATGTTCTTTGTCAACCATTATTACATATTTATAATTTAATAATTCGTCATAAAGGTTTTCCTGATTGTTGGAAACAATTACGTATTACGCCGGTTTATAAATCTGGAAATAAAAATGAAATAAAAAATTATCGACCGATATCTATCATTTGCAATTTTGCCAAAAGTTCGAAATTTTAATTTACAAATCAATCTACCCCCATGTTAATCATCAGTTGTCGCCAAAACAACATGGTTTTCTGAAAGGAAAATCAACTGTTACAAATCTTTGCTCCTTCACTACCTTTATTTCGTGTGTTTTGGAAAATAGACTGCAAGTTGACGCAGTTTATTGTGACTTTTCTAAAGCTTTTGACATGGTTCAACATTCGTTACTTTTGCAAAAGTTGCAAGAGAGAACAGCTTGGCAGTCAACCGAACGGACGTGTTTCGTTGTGCTCCGTGTTTATCAGATATTATTTTCGAAAATGCCGGCTCATTGTGTGAAGTGTGAGAATGCGATAACCCCTACTGTGCAGAGTATAAAATGTGCAATTTGTGCGGCATACTATCACATCAGATGTGTTGATATAACAAAAAATCAACTTGACCTGATAAGGTCTACTCCTGGCTTTTTTTGGAAGTGCCCTAAGTGCTCCAAGTCTACCTCAGCTTCTGTTTCTAATAACAAGTGTGATTGTTGTGACATAATTCCCCATCTAAAGGAAGTAATTGATAAACTATCAGCTACAGTTGAATCTTTAAAAAACCAGTTGTCACAAAAAACGCCGTCCGACATTGGACTTGAAGATATCATTCGAGAAGTAAATGAACGTCAGCTCAGAAAATCAAATCTAATATTTTACGGCTTCGATGAACTACCCCAGCATACGCCCGCATCTGAGAGAAAAATTAAAGATCGAACCCTCGTCACTGACTTTTTGGCGTTTCTTGAAATAACTGGCGATGATACAGTTACGGATCTTGATTGTTTCCGTTTAGGGAAATATGATGTCAATAGAAGTCGTCCTCGGCCCATCAA